TGATTGAGGTGCTTAAGATTGTAAAGGGAACTGATAGTATTGATGCATCATCTTTTTTCATACTTAACAGTGAGAATAGTAGGACTATGGGACACAAATACAAATTTTGGCATGGTAGGAATCATCTTCAGCTAAGACAGTTTTATTTTTCTAACGGGGTGGTTGATCTTTGGAATAGGTTACTTTCAGATGTTGTAGAGGCAGTAAATTTAAAAATTTAAGCAAGTTTAAGAGAAAGCTTGATAAATATGTGAATGATAAGGGATGGCTTTAAGATATGAAAAATTAAGGACTGTGACTTTTATAAAAGTTATTAATAAACCAATGAAACCGTAACCAACAAAGAATTTTAGGGCAAAATATAATGGCCTCAATATCTGAAAAGTATGACAAATAATAGTTTCTAGGAGAATAAGTGGGACATTCCACAAGGACATAGTTAATCATCTTCCAAAATGACACTACAACTTCTGAAATAACAGTAGTTAATTCTAATTTTGAACAGTCTGAAGTTCAGACCACATTTCAGGTGAATAACATTTTCTACTTGACAGGACTGAAGGAGGCTTCAGAGGAATACAGGGAAAAATAGTAATGGTTCACATGAAATGCTCCATAGGATCAGAATTGATTCAGATAAGAAAGAGTAAAATTGCACAAAATCATGAGTGCCCATGGGCACCCGCAGGAAGGGGCAAGACGGGACATTAGCCCTCCTTACATTTCACAAAAAATTGCATGTATTATGATTTAAACTTAACATTTTAGTTAAACTAAATATTTCTAGTAATTTTTATTATAACTGTAAATTTGTGTTTGCATTTAAGCACACACAACACATATCATTTTAGTCAGTTGACTTCTCTGTAAAACCTGATCCCATACATACATATTTTGCCCTTACATCCTCTCCTTCCTCTAAAATATTTCTCTGGGTGCCCTTGTGAGTGCCATGAGCAAGAATCACATCATTGGGAAATTTTTAAGCCTTATTTGGTTGTATATCAACACATTTGCTACCAGGAAAAAAATCTCATTTGTACTGGAACCTGGTTAAACCTAATGTTACTATCAAGTTGGTGCAATTGAGAAAGTAGGATTGTTGAGCAAGCATAAGGATAAAGTAATGTTAAAGAATGGAGGACACTAATAGAACCTAAGAGAACAAAAAAAGTTTCCTAGAGATTATTCCATATTTTTACCATTTCATTAAATTATCAGACATCAATAGCTAACACATGAAGTTAATTAATTAACAGTCTCAGCTGATCAGACCAAGATAGGAATCCTATAGAAACAAAGAGTGCCCAGTTAGCTTGTTAATATTACTGAAAAATTAACTCCTAATATATAATTGAAAAAATATCAAGATCCAATATACTAGCATTATTTAAAGGAAATTATTCATGATGTTAGAAAAACATGTAGGTTCAATAAGTCTTTATAGAAATTAAAATAAACCCTATAACCCGAGCGCTTTCAAAAGGTGGACCTTTCTTCTTCAGGGACAAAAGGAAATCATAATGTAGCTGAAAAGGTTAAGCCTAATCAGAGATTAACTGATTGTTTTTTATTGATTGTTAATTGCCCAAAATAAAATTCTTGAATGTGAAAAGTAACTAAAATTTTGAAGAGGAATATACTCAGTTGCTCCATTCATATTTGAAAACATTGTGTTAATGATTGTATTTTTACATATGAAGTATTTTCCATAAAATATATCTCATTCTATATAAATGATTTTAACCATTCATGTTAGACATGTGGTTTATTTTATAAATTTTGTCACTCACTCTCAGAGCTGTAAACTTGCTGTACTTATATCAATGTTCCATCCATATTAACAAAAGAAATATTGTTTTATTCACAGATTCATGGTGAAGTCAGTGATATATATCAAGATGGTGCATTACCAAACACAGACTCTGTTGCTAGCTGTATGGCCAAAGGTTACTTTGAAGATTATCTAACATCAGGAAATATTCTTGGGCTTATAGGTTTCCTTACAGGCAAGAGTTATGTTACAGAAGCCATCTGTGAAACTGATGTAAATGTAAGTCAGCCATCTTTCAGAGATATTTTTTTGGTTTAATGTGCAACATTTTACTTTATAAATAATTTTTATTTAGCTGTGGATCAGCATTAACTCTTTTCTCTAACACATTATAAGTTTATTTGTATATATCCCATACTTTCATATCTGATACTCTTTTTAAGTTCAAGTTTCATGCAGTTGCTAATGAAAAGTACAAAGTATCTAGCTATTAGTGTCCAACCTAACGTCTCTAAATAAGTTTCATGCAGTTGCTAATGAAAAGTACAAAGTATCTAGCTGTTAGTGCCCAACCTAAGTTTCTAAATAAGTTTCATGCAGTTGCTAATGAAAAGTACAAAGTATCTAGCTGTTAGTGCCCAACCTAACGTCTCTAAATAAGTTTCATGCAGTTGCTAATGAAAAGTACAAAATATCTAGCTGTTAGTACCCAACCTAACGTCTCTAAATAAGTTTCATGCAGTTGCTTATGAAAAGTACAAATTATCTAGCTGTTAGTGCCCAACCTAATTGAATATTCTTTTTTCATATACTATATGGACAGGAATATGCCACATGAAATTCTTATATGTAATATTTATATGAAGCTAATTTATTGTTTAGGTGTTTGAATATGTTAATGTTATTGAATCTGTTGATTACATGGATACATTTGTTTTTAAGGATTTTTTATTAATTTATCACATATCTTTTATTTTCTCATATTATATATCTGTATATCTTATTTCAGACGATATTTTTACCCAAATCTTGTCTGCAAAAAGCTTTAGTTCAGTTTTCTCAACCTCCAAGCCTTTTGTACCATATGTGGCGATCTGTTGCCTTAAAGATTGCAGTCCCTATTCTTAGGAATCAACCTAAATATCAGGTGACAAATGCAACATATTAATTTCAGAATTTGTATGTGTTTACTCACTGTACTGAATTTACCCAAATGTATATATATATATAAGTACATACAGTAAAACATCTAACTGTAGCATTACTGTGAAATTATAGACTTGAGTTTCACAAAATTATGATAACAGTTACTTTGATTGCACATTCATCTCATGTGTCTCATGCTGTTTTAAGGGACTTCAAATACCTCTTGAATGTGTATAGTTTGTTTTGCAAGTTTAGTATGTGTGTTAATTTTTTATTTTTTTTGTAGCAAGTAGATTATTTAATTTGTAGCTATAAATTCCATGACAATCAGAATACTTACTTAATCTTGTATACAGGCATTGAAAATCATATAATTAACCAGTCTTATTAATTCAATTGGTAGAGGAAGTAAAATGACTCTCTTTGTATTTTTGAATCTTGTCAAGTTTGTAATGTATGTATGTGTGTTTATGTGTATATATATATATATATATACACACACATATGTATGCAAATCAGATCTTGTTAATTTTTGTGAGTTGGAATATTCATGCAGGAGAAATCCTTGAATGAATTAATTAAAGGATCTTAAATAAGATTTTCTTTTGAATACTTATTTTATAGTGAAATGTATTTAGTGTCCAGTCAACCTTAGAAATTAGTCTGCCTTAATCTTTGTCTGATAAATACATATAAAGGAGCAAGAGAGATAATAGTGATGAGATTAAACAAATAATATTTTATGATCAGCTATGTTCTTATTATTTTTTGTTACATTTCTCATTCCTCTGACACTATTTTAAACAGAAATACAAATGTTAAATAAATTATGTATAAAGTTTTAGTTCTACCAAACACAATTATTCAACCTTCTTTATCTAAGCAGGTCATACTGGTATGAAGGGTTGTGTTTGACCTAGACCAGAATCACATCATAGTTGGTGGAAAGTACAATAATAAATAGATTTTTTTTCAATTGATTTAAAATAGTAATTACTTAATTTATATATCTTAGAGATGGGATGATGGAAGAGTAAAACTCCTACTGGAAGATGCTTTACTGCTAGATCTTCAGTATGCACAGAGATTTACGATCACCTCCAATATGGAAGATGTGGTATTAATTCAAGGTCAAGTCATTAATGATTACAGCAAAGAAAGATATAGAGGACCATTATACATTCCTCGCACTATGGAAAACCTTCTTTTGCCTGTGAGAATATTAAATTGTATATATGATCATTAAAAACAATATGATGTTTTCTAGAAATTAAAGCTATTATGATATTCTTAGAAAATATGTTATTGACTTTAATGAAATGGTTGTCTTTTTTTTTTTGGTTGTTATTTCAAAGTAGCTTTTATGAATTTCCTAATCTATACATCTTTATATTTATGTAATCCAGGTCCTTGGAAATCTTGGGGAAAAAGCATATTTTTTATCTTTTTATGTAGAAACTTTTGAAGAATTTAAATGACTTCATCTAACATGTTTTGTTTGACATACTGACATGCTACCATCATCATATGAAATATTGTAGCACACCATCAGACAACTCTCTTTGTAAGAAAGCGTTGTCTACATGAGGGTTTCAAATAATGATTACCATTTGACAAATTTTAATTTAATTGTTATTGAATTAATCAGAATTAGTTTGAAAAGAATTTTGAAAAAAAATCCACAATTGGTCATAGAATGTGTTGATGTCTGGGTAGAAAGAACCCAGAAGGTTATGTTGCATTTTAAAACATATTGGAGTCAGACTATTACAACACCAAAACACAAATATTGGTAATTTTATTACGATTATGAAATTAACACTCCAACATGCATTATTTTAACTTTGTTCTAGTAAAGTCCTTTGTTTTTTTTATGAAAATACAAATCAAGAACTGTTATTAAGATAAAATGTATTGATACAAGGATGTTCGAAAAGTTCATTGCCCAACCTACAAAGAAAAGAGACACTGGTTAAACTATGATTTATTTTTTAACATAACCTATACACATGCACCAGCATTGCTCTAAGGCTTTTATGCCCTTCTGAAAGAACTCTTACTGTTTGTCCTCAATCCACAACTAGATGGTATATACGAGATCATCATTACTCTGGAATCTTCGACCTTTCAGAAAGATATTAAGGTTAGGGAAAAGATAAAAGTTGCTTGGAGCTAAATATTGTGAGTAAAGGGGTGATTGAGTCATTTGGAGCCAGCATCATAAATAGCGTTCAAAGCAATTCATGATTTATGAGCTGGGGCATTGTCTTGATGGATGAGTACAGCTTTTTTTAGGCAATTCTCTTCTCTTTTCTTTGATTTATAGATGCATAGTAATCTCCTGTAGGAGTTTGACTCCTTTTGAAATAAGTATCTAGTAAAATGCCTTTGGCATCCCAAAAAATTGATGCCATGACTGTGCCAACAGAAGGTTGTGACTTGAAGTTGCATGGGATGAGTGACCTTGAGTATTTCCATTGCAAACTTTGGATTTTTGTAGTATGTATATGTATATGTTTTATTACAAACTGATAAGAAGATCAATGAACTTTTTGGGGTAGTATTATATACTTATTAAGTTTGTTATTTTTAATTCTTTTTTGGACATTAGATACAAATAGCTAATATTATTGTGGTGCCTATTTTTTGTTAGGTGTTATTATTTTTGTATCTTAGTGGGCTTTTGGTATTCCTAAAACCTTGCAACTTGTAAGCCTTACAACGAAAAAAAAAGCTTAAAACGTTATTAACATAGATGTGCCTTGTGATATCTTGGCAAACTTTGCTTCACTGAATTAAGCAAATTTTGATTAAAAATCTTCAAAGGGACATAAAATATGTTCATTATTAAGAATCACTTTGAAAAAAAGTTTATTAAAGCAATATTCCACAGTATTTTCTCTGTATAAAACACGTTTTTGAAATTCAAAGAGTCAAGCTTCTTAACCAGATTCTTAATTTTTGGTAGAATTAAATGCTCAAAATTTGGCACACAAATATAAATAGATTGCTATGAGAAACATATATATATATTTACAGACTGTAATGCATCTGGCTACTGTTATACATATCTCTTTTAAACTAACATTTTATAACTAGTTAACTAGCCATTGAGTTTTTCCACCCATGAATATTTAAAATAACAACTATTTTGCATAAAAAAGAAAATTCAAATGGTTTTATTTCAGTTTTTAACAATAAGAGCGTTATTTTTTTACCTTCCAAAATTGTTTAAAGCTACATATACACAACTTGTTACATTTGTATACATGTGGGTCTCATTCACCTACTATCCAAAACAACTACTCTAAAATAACCTGAGAATTCCAGGTAGAAAAAAAAATCATAAATCTTGGTTGAAACCTATAAGCCTTTACCGTAAGTGAATATCTTTAATAACATAAGTAAATTCTGCTGATGCAAATACCATAGTATCATACATTTATCATCTGGTGCACGTATTTGAAAAGAAAAAATAATATTGCTAACAGAAGCTGTAGTAACATGGCCAGTGTTATTCAATTATCCATCTGGAGTTTGATATGGATTGGTCTATATGAAATTGATCGTATTTATTTTTCAAGTTGCCATGTTTTGTAGATAACTAATGTTCCTATATTTTTTTTCAAATTGTGAAGTGAGTGTGGTCTGTTTTTCTTAAGATTTTGTATTTTTAAACAGGGAAATAGCAAGACAAGACCTTTGCCAATTTTCCTAATTGTTGGAAGAGAAGACCTGATTCTTCCTCCAGGCCTTGACTGGAAAGGCCAGATTAATGTTCCAGAGAAGACAAGCTCATGCTTATTCCACGATATTCAGAGAAGAATGTCAAAGACTAATGAGGAACATGATACATCTAGTGGAATGCATCTAATTGGAATCCAGACTTCTGTAAATGCTACAGTGGTGAGATAGAAGATGTGTTCTCAGATCATAATTCTAAGTACTGATAGGATGTTATTATATATATATGTTTATATATATTGAGGAATATGTCTAATACGGTATCCCTCATCTACTTACGATATCTATAACTGCTTAAATTAAACAGGCTATTTAGCCAATTGTGGTTATTTCCTATACCTTAACAATGAAAACAAGCACCAGTCCACCTGAGTATATAATCTGTGTTGATATGTATAAACATATTAAGAAACAACAAACAGCAACTTAACTTATTAACACACACACCACATTGTTAGGAAATCTGTTTCCTGAGCTAATTGTAATTGAACAATAATTATGTTTTAACCTAGATATCAATTTTCAAAGTTTATGTGATATTCAAATTTCCATTAAGCTTCAAGCAGGTGCTCCAAGTGCTTAAAGGTTTTACCACTTAAACCAAGTAAATTCGTTTTTCATTCAAGCCAAAAGCAAGGGCAACTGTTCTAGCCTCTCTTTGAATTTTAATTTCTTTAACCAATTATTATTCTTGGATTTCTTTCTAGCAGATTCAGATACAGGCTATAACACAGTTGTTGGATGTGCAAGAGTGTTTAGTGTAAGAGTTATTATTTAGTTCATTTAGTGATCTAATATTTAATGATTATTTAATTTTCATAATAAAAAAAAATTAATTATTTTGAAAGCGATAGTTATGAACAAATTTGTAACTCGGAAAGAGTCGTACATTGTGTGTGTAGTTCAATTATTTTAAACTGATGTCACATTACTCAAACCTTCTGTCTTTTTCTAATTGTCTTAAGTGAGCATTGTTACATCATAGCATCTTGTAGTTTGTAGAAAGTTCTAGGCCTCAGTCAGAAAAAGTTAGTTAGTGAAAGTAATTCGCCTTAATGGGTGATTTCTATCGTGTGTTTCACAATTGTATTGTTATTGGAACAACAAAGATAGAAAAAATAATTTGTCTTGTCAATTGGGTTCTAAAGTAACTGAACCAGCCTATGTGGACTTTGACGAATATATAAAGAGACAATTATTTAAAGCTCTGGAT